AGGGAGGGGGATGAGAAGATTTCATCCAAGATCTGTCGTCTTAGCAAATTCAAAGTACACAAAGCAGTGGCTCACACCTGTAATCCCAGCTACTCCGGAAGCTGAGGCAGGAGGATTGTTTGAGGCCAGGAGTTCAAGACCAGCCTGGGCAACACCTGTTTCCACAAAAAATTTTTAAAAAATTAGCCAGGCATGGTGGTGCACGCCTATAGTTCCAGCTACTTGGGAGGCTGAAGCAGGAAGATCCCTCAAGCCCAGGAGTTCGAGGCTGCAGTGAGCCACGATTGTGCCACTGCACTCCAGCCAGGGCGACAGAGTAAGATCCAGTCTCAAAAAAAAAACAAAGAAAGAAAGAAAGGAAAGTATAAAATACTGCATTGTTAACTATTGCCACCATGCGGTACGTTAGATCCAGAAATAATATTCACTTTGCTTTGCAGCGACCTAGCAGGAAAGGTCTGAGTGGGAGGCTCTGCAGGCTGGGTGGTGTTGGTGGCAACTCCATGGCAGACAGGACTGTGTGACCATTTCCCATCCCTGAGGGAGGGAGGAGCCCATCACTTCTCCCCCTGCAGCATAGCCCTGTGTACTAAGACCCATGTACCACCAGCTGAAGGGCCCCTCCACCAGCCTCTCTCCTCACCCCTTGTTGAGGGCCTGGAGAGCAGAGCCTGTCCCCAGTGATTGCATCCTGAATTTGCCTTCATGACAGTTCAGCTCCACCAGCTGCTCGGGGCATGTCTTTAGTAGAGTGTCAGATGCATCTGGGACATGGATATCACCCTCGAGTGATTACCTGCTCTGATTGTACTCTCAGGCTCACCCAGCATCCGTGCCGGAGAATGTGGGATGGTTTTGCCTCTTAACTCCCATAACCACATTGTCCTGCAAGCTGACAGGACCTGACTCTTGACATAAGCCTTAGTTTTCTGCCATTTTGTTTTTTAATAGAGACAGAGTCTCCCTCTGCCACCCAGGCTGGAGCGCAGTGGCATGATCATAGATCACTGCAGCCTGGAACTCCTGGGCTCAAGCCTCCCAATCTGCCAATTTTTAAAATGAGAATTGAGCGCTGTTGGTTCCAGGAAAGCCAAGGCCTGGGTTCAAGGTCTACACAGTGTTCTATGGTTCTCATGATATGGTCCCCAACCAGCAGCATCAACATCACCTGGCAAGTTGTCACAAATGCAAATTCTTGGGCCCCATCCCAGATCTCCTCAATCAGAAACTCTGGTGTGGGGTCCAGCCTCCTGTGTTTAACAAGCCCACCAGGTGATGCTGTTATGAGCCACTGGTCTACACCGGGGCTCAGCCAGCTTCCTAGCAAATACATGCCTTTATCACAAAAGAGCCCAGGTGAGAGTCCACCTCTTTCCAGACTGTCCTCCGGGTGCCCCTCCCTGGCCACCGTGGGCCCACAGTGAGTCCTTTCTCCTCACTGCAGCCTGCACAGCCAGGCCCCTTAGGTACCACATCTATTTCCTCATTACCTTCACAGACAAGAGGCTCAACCAGGTAACTGGAAGGGTCCTGATGACAGGGCTCCCTTTTAAATGAAATAATGTATATAAGGTGCTTTGTCTTACAGACTATTCCTTCTTCTTTCATTTTGTGCTATTTTATACTGCTCAGAGCACAAATTAGTTGAACAATAAATTGCAATCTTAGGAAAGCATCCCCACTGCTTGAAAAAAAATCAGAGCTTTATGTAAACATGTACAAATTTTCATGTAGTGTACACACGTACATTTACACATACAAATTTACCTATGAGAAATGACACAAAATCCTATGCTTTAGTGAAACGGAGCTGTTGTAATATGAGAACACTGTCTTTTCTTGATGATTTTTTTCACCCAAAAAATAGGTTCATTGGCAATCTAACTATTCTCTAAACTTTTTTGTTATTTTTTAAATTTCATCCTCAGTAAGTAAAGATCTTCCATGAGAACAGAAATTTCAGGAAGAAAGAATAGCAGAGTTGACTCTAAGGCTGTTGCTTGGATAAAAGTCAGCTTGTCTGTGACCAAAACAATCAATACAGTAAGGAGGAAAAAAAAGCTTTCCAGAATTGAGAAAATAAATGAGATTAGAAATTGAAAGGTTTCATCTTGTTCTGAGTAACATTCATCAGAAACTATTAACAAGGCATATTATAGTAACATGTCTAAATGTTAAGAGAAAAAAATTCTCCAAGGAGAGAAGGATAGCTACCGATTGCTTTTAAATGAAGTAAAATCAGATGGTTTCAGACTTGTCCAATGTATCAGTCAATTTGAGAAGAAAAGGCATTCTCTTCTTCTGAACCCTTGTATAAAAGGCTTGTACCCCAGACTGCTGAGCCCTTT